AAGACCAGCAAAAGGACTTTATAATATTATTCATATCATTAAAGAATGAGTTAAGTATAGGTTTTTTATTTTATTCTATTTTTAATAACAGGTTCAGTCATTATATGCCATTTTATTTTGCTTTGTGAAAAACTCAGGACATTTACCAGTTTTGGGTTTTCCTTTATCATGATTAATACAGTATTTCTGTTGTTTGACTTAGAATTGTTAAACATTCCAAATGTTTCTGAAGTCTGCAGAGTTCTAATGTACCACACCACTATAGACCAGTGGGAAGTAATATTCACTATTCTTTCCTTCCAGGTACATCTGTGTTTTCTTTTTCTTTAAGTCTGAGAGGTTGATGGAAAGAGCTATTCGTTTGTACTTGTTCATTTGTACCTCAGCCATTTTGATTTTATTGTGTGTTGGAAGAGGAGAGCCTGATGAAGAAAGGATAAATGTGATTCTGAGTAGGGGAAAATTTCCTGATTACTTTTTAATGACTGGGCTAGGCTACTATAAATTGTTCTGACGACAAAACAGCTGTTCACTGCTTTCATTGAGAAAAGTGGAATGTGTGTTGACTAATTGGGAAACACTGAGTAATGAAATGACAAGCTAGTTGAGGCTGATAATCAATGCATGACCATATTAATTCATTTAACAGATATCTGACCACCTACTATGTGTAACACATTTTACTAGAGCCAAGGATATACAGCCAACAAGGTGGATATATTTCCTTCCCTCATAAAGTGTCATAAGAGGAACAGATTTGTGTGCCCGCACACACACACACAGTATAAGAGAATATAGAGAATCAGTAACTGTATTAAGTGCTATGAAGAAAAAGAAGACGGTCTACTTGCTGTTACTTTTGTTAGTTATCTGCAAGTAGATGAATGGGTGAATTGAATTCTCCATGTCAGCTATTTTGTTGCCATTTATTTAGTATCAGACATAGTGCTGGTCTCACAGTCTAATGTTTGAAAATAAACTCTGCCAGTGGTGTATCTTCATGTAACTCTAAATGATAGGATCTAGAGTTTAGAGAGAGGCAGTCATTCACAATGTTTGTCTACAAGTAATGCCAAACAATGGAAGGATGCAGGCCAATGTCTTTGGTTACAATTGACATTCATGTGAGTATTCAGCCCTTAAAATGTAGCTAGTCCAAATTGAGATGTACTGTCAGTATAAAATACATACCAGATTTTGAAGATGTACAAAAAAGAATGTAACCTATCTCAAATTTTATATTGGTGAAATTATAACATTTTTGGTATGGTGGGTTAAATAAAATATCATGATAAAAAGAAATTAATGTTTTTTTGTGAAGGAAAATTTCTAATCTACTCCACTTAGATATATTAATTGCTAACATTTACTCGGTACTCCCAGCATCATAATAAGCAAAGTGCTCAGCAAACATTATGCCTTAATCACAACAGCTTTAAGACAGATAAAAGGACAGAGACAAAAAACAAGCCTGAAGTTACAGATAAGTGTCAAGTTAGAATTCAAATCATACTTCAAAACCTATACTTGTAGTTACTATATAATCCTAGCCCCCCTCTCATCCTCAGCCTTTCAAATTCTAAGCTTAAAATTTTGGACAAAGGAAAGGTTTTAACTATAACACCAATAATCTCCTGGCACATCAACTAATCCCCCTACCCCTCCCCCCCACACAAAAAAACACCTTTTATAAATTACTGTAAAGTTTAATCCTGCTTTAAAATGTAGGCTTCAAACAAGTTGATAAATCAGTAATTTAATGTTATTTTTCAAAGTGATAATAATAGATGACTTGAAAATAGTATAATCATTGATGTTTTAAAATTATGCTAGGTCATTATCATACATAAAATATTCAAGGTGTTTCCAAAGCAGTCTAAGTGTAAATGAAAATGTTATTTTATATTACAACAATCATTTTAAATAACTATTCATTTGATCAATTCGTCTAAACAACAAGAGGGCTCCATTTCAAGGATAAAGAAACAATGAAAAGCTATAAGCAACATGCCAAGGATCACAACAAACAATGATGTGAAAATTAAAACCAATGTCCTCAGAATCCCAAGATTTCAATTCACAGTATTTAATAGGCTGTTAAGTAAAGACAAAACCTAAGGTGTAGGGGGGTTTCTGTCAAATAAAACAAAAGATTAAAGATAATTTTTGAGGGAGAAAAATGCTACACCACAAATATTTTCATTCAATTATAGGTAAATCCTCAAAGGCCCTTTGGTGATAACAATAATTTCTCCTTAGGCAACATCAGGTCATCTTTTCAGAAATATTTTATAAATAGACCACAATCCTGAATATATGGACTCATTTCATTTCACTTACTAGGGCTAACTCTTAATTACTAAAGAACCAGTAATTTTATGACATGAGTATTCAGAAATGTTTCCTGTAAAATATCTTTATGTTGATGATGAATTCATGGTAAATTTATATGGATAGATTTAGTCATGGTATAAGTCACCAGATTCAAACTAAGCATCAATCTTTTGATAATAAACTTTGTTTTGTTTTTTTCAAATATAACTTTGTAGAATTGTTTAGGAAATTAAAAATTTGCATTTTTTGCAATATAAACTGACAAGCATATTAATGCTTTTGAGTTAAATGTACAATGATTTTTAAAAGTTTTTTATGTTGACTGAAATCTGTCGTTATTTGCAAAAATTAGGGAAAGACCAAGAATACATGCATTATGTTTATATTAAAACTACAAAATGGGCCAAGCACAGTGGCTCACTCCTATAATACTAGCAACTTTGGGAAGCAGAGGCGAGAGAATTGCTGTAAGTCAGAAGTTTGAGACCAAACTGAGCAACACAGCAAGATCCCAAATCAAAAAAAATTAGCCAGGTGTGGTAGCATGGACCTGTACTGCCAACTACTCAGGAGGCTGAGGCAGGAGGATCCCCTGAGCCCAGGAGTTTGAGGTTGCAGTGAGCTATGATGATGCCACTGTACTCCAGCCTGGGCAACAGAGCAAGACCCTGTCAGAAAGAAAAGTAGAAAGAAAGGAACAGAGAAAGGAAAAGAAGGAGATATGAAAGGATAAAGAAAGAGAAAGGTGAAGGAAAGAAAAATACAAAATATAAGCTATTTACTTTGAGTAAATAAAAATTCTAAATATCCGGTTGTGATGATAGTGGCTCGTCTTTAAAAAGGTAGCAAAATCATTCCTATTTAGTAGAAGTAATTGTTTCAATACCACAAATAACAGTTTCAATTAACTTGGGTAAATCAAAATTACTATAGGACTTAATTTAAATATTTGATATGATCACTTTCTGATATCCCAATAAAACTATCTGGGATGAAGAATCAGAATCAAGACAATTGTTAATTACAGTGAGCCCTGTAATAACCGTAGATTTTGCATCTGTGAATTCAATAAACCTCAGAAAATATTAAAAAGAACTAAAAACAACAATAGAATAAGACAAAATAATACAATATAACAACTATGTACATAGCTTTTACAATGTATCAGGTGGTATAAGTAATCTAGATATGACTGAAAGCATACAGGAGGGTGTGCTAAGTTATATGCAAAATTTTATATAAGAGGTATGAGCATACAAGGATTCTGGTACTCAAGGGAGGGTCTGGAATCAATCCCCCACTAATACCAAGGGATGACTGCACTACTTTTAATTTTAGATTAACCTTTCTAAATATAAAACCTCTATTTAGGAGTTTGGAAGCTAATACATAACATCACCTCCTATATCAAGCATCAATAAGGATGCCAAATGTTCCACATGAATATATTTTCCAGGTATTTGAACACTCATTTTTTAAAGCACTGCTTAGTTTTGACCATTTAACCACATGCCTCAGTCTTCCTAAACAAATGCTTAATAAAATCTAACACTTTTTAATGACTCAGGGTCATACTAAACAAGTATTATATAGTAATAACAAGGTTCTGGGAGGCAATTTGGATAATCTGAGCCATATAAATTAACTTAATGGTTCTTGAATCCTGTCATTTCACAAATCTTCAGAATAAACAACTCATTGTTAGGAAAGCATCTAACAGTGCCTGTTCTGAACATTAATTTCCTTTCTCTTCAACCTGCTTGGCTTTGCCTATTACTCCAAGTTTTATTCCATTTGTAGACTGTGGAAATTAGGTAACTAAATTTCTTAACTTGTATGTAAAATAACACTACTGATTTTAAGCAATGACTATCTGTGTGAGGGTGAGAGAGTCTTCAGCCAAAGATAATGCAGAAGCTTTAAGAGCCATTTTGTTCTGCCTTTATAGACAAAGAAAGGTCTACACTCTGGATAATCACATAGGCTTTAATTCTGAATGCCAGTTAAATGGCATTTTCTGAATCAGCCAAGAATTCCTACACAATCTTAGTTCAAATTATTAATACGTCCTCAACTGCATAAAAAGCAGCAAAATATATTTGACAAACATGGTTCTCTTCAATCTCATAATTATTACAGGAAGACTAAATGTACAAACAGCAAAGTTGTTCTTAAAGATTTAAGAGTCAGTTTTTACCTCAAATGAAAAAATTTGTACTAGGGGAAAAAATCAGAGATTTCAGGATTGCCTTCAGAAGTTTAACTTTCACAAATTATTCACTGAATTGGCAGTTGATTTTTTCCTATGCAAATAGTGCATTGTCTCCCACAAATTAAGCACTGAGTAATTGCTAATGGAATAAATAACAAATAATTTTTCCTGCTTCCAACTTCTCAGTTTAAGGGGAAAAATAGTATTTTTACTACTAAGTTTCATTTTTTATTACCTTTTTACTAATAGAATAAAATGGTATAATCTATTTCAGGAAAAGAGTTAAGTGTCCCTTTAACAACAGAACGCTGGAGAAATAGGCAGTAAAATATATTGAATTTGAACCCAGATTGTATCCATAACCTAACTCTGGGAACTTGGGCAAATAAAAATTCAAATTGTTAATATTTGAAGACTAATAAATCTCTGAGAAAAACCTCAAACAAATACTTACTGAGAACTTACTACAGTCAAACCATTATATGTGCAATGAAGGATCCCAAAATCTATATGGGAGACAAAGAGCAAAAGAGCCGTCAAACTATATATCAGACAATACAGAAATAAGGCAACAGATGCAAATCTATTTTTGACTCATGTATTTTTCCTAACCAAAAATTAACAAAGTTTGAAAAACAATTTTCAAATAAAAATTAAAATCAAAGTTAAATTAAATCAAAATGGAAAACTCATGATATACAAACAACATGACATAAGTCACTGACAGAAGTCAGAACTAACTATGGGGGCATGTGCAGACCAGACGTGTACATGGAAAATACATCATCATGTTGGACTTTAAGCTACAAGCAGAATTGATAAATGACTCAAAAACTACTGGTTAATAATGTCTCCCTTGTGCCAGGCACTCTGCTAGGTACTTTCATCATGACTGTCTCCTCAACTAGCTGTTATGGGTAAGTATTATCATCCCCTTAACCAAGCTAAATATTTCTCCTGGATTGTAGGGGAGGCTCATATTTGAATTCAATGGCATTTGGCTTTCTACTATATAACACTTCAAAGTTATCTAAGTAAAGTCACAAAGGCAGCAAAATGAACAGGTATTTTTGTGAGGAATGAATAGACCAATTTAGATGGAGCAGAAAGTTCCTGTAGAAGAACAATGAAAAAAGTAAACAATATAAGAAGGAGAGCACTGGGTTCATACTTAAATTTAGATTTTTTTCTTATGCACCAGTATCTCTCAAATTGGGTTCTGTGGACATAATGTTGGGTTTCTTGCATTCACTGCAAGAAATTTAAAACTGCATTTTAATTTTGATGCTTCTCCTAAATAAAATATAAGAATGTTCTCAGTCAACTAAACTATAAGGCCAACTTAAACATAGGGACTGAGCACTTCTGTGCTTACTACTGAATTGAAGCCTAGTGATTCCCTAAAACAATGTTTTTAAAACTGCTGGTTAGGATCTATTAGTGGATTATTAATATAAAATCAAGAGCAACATTTAAAAATAAGTGAAAACAATGCATCACACATAGTAAGAGTAAATACTATTTTGTGATAATTTTGTTTCAGTGTGACAATTAAGCAGCAAAATAAAAAGTTACATCTCACTTAATACAGGCTGAGTATTCTTTAACCCAAATGCTTTGGACAAGAAGTATTTCAGATTTGGGATATTCAATCTGTATAAACTGAGGCTAAAAATTGTAACTCTGAGATCTACAGATTTACTCTCTTGGGTTTCTGCAAACTAAAATTTGAGAAATGCTATTACAAGTACTGGACTGCCATTGAGGTAGAAAGACAAAAGCAGGACTGTAGGGAATTTCACAAACTGAACAGGAAAGTTAAAAGCAAGTTCATCAGAACAAGAACTAGGATGTCATTATTAGACTACACAAAATAGAAACAATACAATACACCAAATTTAGACCATATTTAATAGTAAAGAACCAAGGTCAAGAAAGAGGTTATTCCACAAATTTTCCAAATGCCTTTCTTCTACTTAGAGATTGAGATTAGAAAGCAGGAATAGGAATGCCTTTTGCCAACCTAAAAGGGGCAGTCAGATGTGGTTTGATTACAGAAAGATGGATAACAAAAACGAAAGCAGAGGCCATGCAATAGAAAAGAAAAATTTTAATTGTAGGGAATAAAAGGATAGACATGGTCCCTAAAGAATCACATCTCCCTGCACCCACACCACTGTGTGGTCTGCTTTTCCACAAAGAGGCTAGATTTGACCACTTAATTTGCAGTAGCCAATGGGACATTAGCAAAGGAAATGCTTACAAAATAAAGCATTTATGCAACAGAACTTACTTTCTCTTGCTGCCATATAAAGAAATCCAGGCTACCTTACTAGAGAATAAGACAAAGAGTACAAAGATGAGACCCAATGAGACCCAAAGGAGACCCCTATACCAACTTGCCTGACAAACACCAGACATATGAGTGAGACCATCTGGGACCATTCTATCCCAGACAACCTACCAGCTGACTGCAAAACTACCCATCAGACCCACAGACTTGTGAACAATAATGATGGTCTTTTAAAGTTACTAAGTTTTTGGATAGTTTGTTACATGGCAATAACTGATACAGGATACTTAAGAAAAAAAACAACTCAAGGCCTGTAACATGCTGAACTTAATTTTTATTTTAATCCTTCAAACTTCGAAGGCTAAGAATTTAGGCAATGTAACTGAAAATCATCTACACTTACAAGATTAACAAAAACTCCTTAGTTTGGCATCATAAACTCTCAGTCTGGTTCTTTTTTTTTTCTTAATAATTTTTTAGTTCAGCATATTATAGGGATACAAATGTTTGGTTTACGTATATTGTCTTTGCCCCACCCCAGTCAGAGTTTCAAGCATGTCCATCACCCAGACAGTATGCACCACACCCATTAGGTGTGTATATACCCATCTCTTCCTCCCCTCTCCCATCTGTCCAACACCCGATGAATGTTATTATTATATGTGCACTTAAGTGTTGATCAGTTAATACTAATTTGATGGTGAGTACATGTGGTGCTTGTTTTTCCATTCTCGGTCCAGTTCTAATCTATCTTTTCTACCCCATTTTTCATCCCACCCTGACATTTTTCTCCAAGTACCAGTGTGCACACTTGTTTCATTCCTCTGAGCTTTTATTCTCATCCTTCCAACTTCTCTTTGGTTATCTAAACACCTTCAAGGCCAGGTGCAGTGACTCACGCCTATAATCCTAGCACTCTGGGAGGCTAAGGCGGGATGATCACTCAAGGTCCAGAGTTCGAAACCAGCTTGAGCAAGAGCAAGACCCCGTCTCTACTAAAAATAGAAAGAAATTAACTGGCCAACTAAAAATATATAGAAAAAAGTAGCCAGGCATGGTGGTGCATGCCTGTAGTCCCAGGTGCTTGGAAGGCTGAGGCAGGAGGATCATCTGAGCCCAGGAGTTTGAGGTTGCTGTGAGTTAGGCTGATCCACGGCACTCACTCTTGCCTAGGCAACAAAGTGAGACTCTGTCTCAATAAATAAATAAATAACCCTTCAAGACCCAACGTAAACAGTGTTTTCCTTCCTACTTAATTTTTACTAAAGTAATTTCAAAATGCTCTACTTCTCTTAATCCATACTCCACTTATATTTATCATTAGATACTTTACTGTTTAATATTGTCATTTAACTATTAATATATGCCCTAGATTTTGTAAGCTCTTTGAGGATAGAGGTCTACTCCATAATTCTCCTTAGCTCCTTTAGTGTTCCCATACAAGAGGAATTTAAATATCTGATTAAAATAAATTAAGAAAAGATATTGGCCGGGCCCGGTGGCTCACGCCTGTAATCCTAGCTCTCTGGGAGGCCGAGGCGGGCGGATTGCTCGAGGTCAGGAGTTTGAAACCAGCCTGAGCAAGAGCGAGACCCTGTCTCTACTATAAATAGAAAGAAATTAATTGGCCAACTAATATATACAAAAAATTAGCCGGGCATGGTGGCGCCTGCATGTAGTCCCAGCTACTCGGGAGGCTGAGGCAGGAGGATCCCTTGAGCCCAGGAGTTTGAGGTTGCTGTGAGCTAGGCTGATGCCACGGCACTCACTCTAGCCTGGGCAACAAAGCGAGACTCTCTGTCTCAAAAAAAAAAAAAGAAAAGAAAAGAAAAGATATTATGTAATTGAATTTTATCAAGTCTTCTTGGCCAAATATACTATTTAGAGACCATTAATTTTTTTAATGTAAATTTAAAGGGTAAAAGTATCATTTTTCTTCTCAGGTGCATGGTGCAACTCTCAATGCCAAAAGAGAAACAATGAATCAAGAGGCTCTCCTGAAAAACAATATGTAGTTAACAGTTACAAGGTATATGTAGTTAATGAAATTTCCATTTTATAAATATAAGGGGATACCTGGCCAGCCATGGTGGCTCATGCCTATAATCCTAGCACTTGGGGAGGCTGAGGCAAGAGGATCATTTGAGATCAGAATTTCCAGACCAGCCTGGGCAACATAGCGAGACCCTGTCTCTACAAAAATAATAAAAAAAAAAAAATTAGCCAGACACAGTGGTGCATGCCTGTAGATCTAGCTACTTGAGAGGCTGAGGTAGAAGGATTGCTTGAGCCCAGCTGCATGTTACAGTGAGCTGTGATCATGCCACTGTACTCCAGCCTGGGTGACAGGGCAAGATTCTGGCTCAAAAAAAAAAAAAGTCTACTCACATTGACTGGTTAATTTTTATAAACTGCATTTATCTGTGGCAGTTGGGAAAAATAATCTCTCATCTTTGATAGAATCTCAATGAAAATAAGCACAGCAGAAGTTTCACAGTTTCAAAAATCCTGTTTTGCAGGTTATAAAATATTATAAAGGTCAACTGCAGAATATATCTCATTCTTCATTTTAATTTAGGAGCAAAAAGTAACAAAGTTGAGGCAAGCAAAGCTTTGTACAGTTTTCTCCTTTGCTAAAATTGGTATAAGCATATTCTGGAAAGTAGAATTTAATATCTTCAGCATGCAATCATACTAATTATGAACATTTAAAAATTATTTCCCATGAGCATTATCTAAACTTTTAAAAGTTTAAATGACTTATTGCTCCCTCAATACCTAAAGTAATTATCACTAATTAACAAGCAAGTCATCTTTTCTTCTGATTTGAAGTGTCCTACAAATTAACTTTAGACAGCCTCTAATAGTGAAAAGAAAGTCTAAATTTTTTAAGGAAAATGCTTAAACAGTATCTAAGATTTTGTTGCTACAATTAAAGCTAAATAAAATATACAGATAAACAAAAGAATCAACTTGTATCAAAAAAAATACAAAGAAATGTTTTAGATACATAATTCAAATAGTAGTTGTCCTAACAGTTTTTTGATTTTTATTTTCTATACCAATAAGGCACTAACAATGGGTAATAAAAGTCTAACCCTGACCCCCCCCAGCCTGAAGTGCTTATTACCTACTTTAAACTCTTTATTTAAATTACTATACATAAAATTAACTTATTCTATCAATAATTAAATGATTAATTAGACACAGCTATAGATCAGAATTATTATACTTCTGTAAAGCAGAAAACCATAAATTCAAATAGAATGATACTGAAGCTATAGAATGATACTGAAGATATGTTTTTGTGTGTGTGGGGGAAGCAAGATATAATAGTTATCTTTAATTTTTTTTTAAAGAACTAGTTCTGGAAACTATTAGGGGATTGTCTTTGTGGAAGAAGACTAGAGTTATGGGTGGGGAGGAGATCAAGTTTGGGGTTTTTTTGTTTGTTTTTTTTTGTTTTTGAGACATTGTCTCACTATGTTGCCCAGGCTAGAGTGCTGTGGTATCAGCCTAGCTCACAGCAACCTCAAACTCCTTGGCTCAAGCAATCCTTCTGCCTCAGCCTCCCCTCCCCCCAGTAGCTGGGACTACAGGCATGTGCCACCATGCCCGGCTAATTTTTTCTACATATTTTAGCTGGCCAATTAATTTCTTTCTATTTATAGTAGAGACAGGGGTCTCACTCTTGCTCAGGCTGGTTTCGAACTCCTGAGCTCAAATGATCCTCCTGCCTCCACCTTCCAGAGAGCTAGGAATACAGGCGTGAGTCACCGCGCACAGCTGAGATCAAGTTTTTGTTGTATGCCCTTTCCCAGTGTCTGAATTTTTAAAAACTATTTTCAATATACTATTATACATTTTCAACTAAAAAAGAAATAAAAATGAAGCAAAACTAATTTGTCAATGATACATTGCCTTTTGACATCTTTTCCACTGTCATCTTTAAGTGATATTTAAATCTTAGTTTAATAATGTATATTCTACTAAAGTCTCGTGTACCTGTGTACCTTATATCTCCTGTAATGTCTAAACCTAGGTCCTTGCATATAACTGCTTTCTTTCTTTCTTTCTTTCTTTTTTGAGACAGAGTCTCACTTTGTTGCCCAGGCTAGAGTGAGTGCTGTGGCGTCAGCCTAGCTCACAGTAACCTCAAACTCCTGAGCTCAAGCAATCCTTCTGCCTCAGCCTCCAGAGTAGCTGGGACTACAGGCATGCACCACCATGGCCAGCTAATTTTTTCTATATATATTAGTTGGCCAATTAATTTCTTTCTATTTATAGTAGAGACAGGGTCTCGCTCTTGCTCAGGCTGGTTTCAAACTCCTGACCTCGAGCAATCTGCCCACCTCGGCCTCCCAGAGTGCTAGGATTACAGGCGTGAGCCACCGCCCCCGGCCTATAACTGCTTTCTTAAAAGTAGAGAATTTCAGTTACATCAAAAGGTCACATCTTTGCTTTAATCAGGATAATTATGTATGCTGAATTTGCTACCCTCTTTAACCTAGTAAAAAGCAAATTGTTCTAATAATTGTTTAAGTAATTGCTTGTAATTTCTGCTAGGAAGTAAAAAGTTTCTTGACCTCTCATGGTCAGTATGAATTATATTTAAATATAGTTGAAGATCATGTACCTGGACCTGTTCCAGATTAACTATATTTCTGGAGTTTAGCAATCTCAATATGAAAAGAGTATGACTGAAAAAAAAATCTTTCTGCTCACTATTTCTCAAAAGGGCACTATGGGTGTCTAGGAAAAGGGATAAATTTCCATTTGGTGGGACTGTCCTGATGACTTCAGAAAATTTAGCATCCAAGGTCATGGACACTAAATGCCCAGCAACAACCAAAAACCTTATTCCACATATTTCCAAATGCCCCTGAAGAGAGAACTGGAGGTGGAAAAAGTACTATGCCCAGCAAAGTAAGAAGTACTGCTTACATATATGTGTGCGTGTGTGTGTGTTATGAATGAGCAGTATGCACACACACTCTCTCCCACAAGTCCTATTCAACCCTCTAAAAATAGTTGTCAGCCACCAGATGATAAATGACCAATATCAGTTGCAATCAGTCCTTCAGCCCAGTATATAATGTTGTCAGCAAACATCACACCCCAACAAATCATTCTTCAACTGTGACAACGGCTTAATTTTTCCAATGAATGACTACTTTAAAATCCTTTTAAAACAAGTCCTCTGTTAAAATGCTTCGTTGAAACTCCCAAATAAATAACCTTCTATTGTACTGTACTTAGTTATGAAAGATATAAATCAGTTTGCTACAAAGATTTGTCTACTTTCCTCCAGAGACTGTAAACTCCTTGAAGCATAATCATGGTTGCCTAGCCCACATACAGTAGGTATTCACTAGAAGTGCTGAATGAGTGACTACTACCCCAGCTTAATACAGTAACTAGTCCAAGAGTTTCCAACTATAACCAATTTTTATCTACAGTAAATTTCGTAAAGATCCCGAAGCAAATAAATACAAGAACTTACTTGTGGTTATCCTATATTCTTATACTAAGCCAATTTTAAGAAAATTAATGAGTTGAATATATTACCCATATTAAAGCTAACTTTTAAAAAAATAAGGAAATTTAAGAGTTGGTCATGGTGTTGCACACCTGTAGTTCCAGCTACTCAGGAATTGAAGCAGAAGATCACTTGAGCCCATGAATTTGAGACTGTAGTGCACTATGATCCCAGCTACGAATAGCCACTGTACTTCAAACTGGGCAACATAGCAAGACCCCACCTCAAAAAATAAATGATATAATGAAATTTAAGTTATGACATGCACTCTAATACGCCCATCCTCTACCTACCCATCCCACCTCCCATTTAAGCCTTAAGCAAATTCTCATTTATATGTGTAAAAGTGAGGCTTATTTCCAGGAAGTAACCCAATATAAAGAGCAAAACAATACCATTATCAATAAGACAAACATTTAATGACTTTCACTTCTATCTCTCAGAACTCAAGAAATCTGTTAATATCCTACCTCATCCAAAAAACAAAACACAACAAAAGGTAAGTCTATAAACTTGGGATCATAAGCAATTTATATTTTAGTAAGCTTCGCTACATTCTCCATAAACTCATCTTTTGCTGAGGTAAAAATTTAACTAATTCACTTTTTTAAACAAATGCAACAATGAGGATTACACAAACACTGAACAAGAACACTGACAGAATATTAACTCTGGAGCCCTCTAACTCTGACATTTATTCATCTTTGCCTTCCTGCAGCATGTGACTATCCCAGTTTTACAAGAAAAGTTTAAATAGAAAAAATTATATGATAATCTCAAGGTTAGAAACCAAGACAATTTCTAGCTCCTAGTATTTCTAGCAATGTATTTAGATTGCTCCAATAAATTTTATAATTGTTAACCTCTCAATTTCACATCAAAGTGCTAGGTAACACTGGCTAAGATATAATTTTAAAGATACAATTTTAAATTTTATAATTTTCAAGTTACCTCTCATTTGACAATTATCACTAACATACATAGGTTACTTTAAAAAAGAAATCCAGAAAATGTTTTAGAAGGAATCAAACATCAGACACACTCTCTATCTATTCAAATAATGGAGATAATTTTTAAGTGTACTTCGATTACTGTGGGATTATAATGTATGAAATATTTTTTAATTTTTGAATTCTACAAACTCAGTATTTGTTTCATTACTGTTTGACGGTTTTGTCAGTAGCATCAGTCAATAAAACTAATCACTTAATAAAACTAATACAGGAAATTACTTTCATTCTGATTTTTAAATGCTATCTCACCCATTTAAAAAATACCTTTAAGTGATAGCTTTATGATGTCACACATCCTCAAAAAGCCCAGCTTGCATGAGATTCCACTTTCCCACAATTATTAATCCTGCTTATAAATATTGCTGGCAAAGAGTATTTACAGTAATTGGCCTTAAAACCATCAGTGGACACTAGTACGGGGAAAATGTCTTGCAGCAAAGCTAAACTTTAATACTTTTAGCTGATTAAAAAGCTGATTCGACTTTTAAATGAAAGACTTCCTATTATGGGTTTCTTACTGAAATAATTTTTATATTTAAAATAAATATTTATATCTAAAACCAATTAAGAATGAGTGGATACAGGATAAAGAAACAGAAATCTCAACAATTCTTAATACTAGGATTCAAAGGAATGTCTGAATCTCTAATTTTGCCACAGGTATTCAACAGACCTATTTACCTTTAAGTGGGGAGTTTTCACATTGCATATTCTCCTAGACAAGTCACCACTTGATCTCAGTCTTTGTTTTTAAGATAATGAACAGCCATCAAAAAATTTGTGAAAATAAAGTGTATAAAGCAATGGAGACTCTTTTGTACGTGATCAAGTATCCCTGATATTACAAAGGAAAGACTTCAGAATTAGGAAGCTTAAAAAGGAAGTGAAAATGTAATCTACTCTGAAATGCTAACATGGTCCAACCATTGTTCAACCTTAAGGTCAACATCTCTTCAGAACAAATTCTCTATATTGATACATTCCCATTAACTCTAAATGTGATCTGTATAAATTGTATCTTTTTTCCTCGTTAAGAAGGCAATCTAACCAAGATCTTCAACAGAGCCAGCAACACCACCTTAAAATTTCAAAGGTAACTATAAGGCTTGTAATTAAGTCCAAATGTAGACCCAAACTCTCCGATTTCAATCATTAGCAGCAAACAGTGTTATTAACATTCCAAATTCTGGTTAGAACGCAGTTACTAGCAAACAGTGTCCTTGGGCAAGAAAAGGAAGGAAAGGTCTGAAACTGACCAGAGCACAGGTCCACAGGAACCTCTCCCACTTCATCAAGAGGCCAAATAGGGAATACTCCAAGAAATGGAGGGGAGTGGGGAGAACAGCGGGGGAGAGAGGGCAGAAGAAATTGTACTCCTTGAAGGGTGAAAGCAAATGAGAAACAGACTCTGCAAAAGCCTCCCCAAAGGGACATTCAACCCAGGAACAGACAGATGTACAGGGACAGCTCCACTAAAGAGAGCCACCTTCACCACGGTAGCGATGCACCAAGCAAGCAAAAGCAGGAGGGGACGACACCCGCCATCAGCCCCCTCCCAAACGTCTCGCCCAGCTAGAAGGGGTCGGCGGGGACTGCTCCTCCGAACATCAACAAAGGCCCCTTCAGTCCTAAGGCGAAACTCAAACAACAAAGGCCCGGAGACAGCGAGGACAGGGCCGGGCCTGGGGGCGGGACGGATGAAAGCAGGGAAACGCGAAGGAATCAAACCGGTGGGGGCGGAGGCCCTTCGGAGTGGGAAGCAGAGGCGCAGAGGCGGGAGGCGCGGTAATCCCCAGTGCACAATAAGAGAAGGAAGAAGAGGACCGGCCTCCATTCTCCTCCGACCCTCTCCGATCCTCGCCGTCTACATCCCCTCGGCCGCCCGGACCGCGCAGTGCCGACCTCGGGGAAGGAACCGGGAGGGGAAATTTTCCGCCCTGACCACAACTCCCTTCCCCCAGCCGGGAGCCGCAGACAACAACAACCGCCACCACGGCAGCCACACAAAGGCGCCTTCCTCACGCTTCTCGCTCCCGGCCGGGCGGCCGCGCCGGCGATGCCCAGGCAGCGGCGACTCCCGCCCGGCAGCCAGGCGCTCGTTCACCCTCATCCCCCTCTCGCTGGGGAAAGGGGGAGGGGACCCCCCGGCGCCCTCACCTGGCACAGCTGCTGACAGTACTCGGTGGCCGCTTCCACGGCCTGCACCCGGCTCTCCCGCAGCTGTCGCTCCAGCTCCTGGAGCCGCTCGCCCAGGCGCTGCAGCTCCGCGACGCAGCCGCCTTCGCCGCGACTCAACCTCTCCTGCTCGGCCTCTTCGTCCGCCATCTTCACACCCCGCTCCGTCGCGTACGCACCTGGGTCACGTGATAACACAATGCCACGTTCGGAGGGGTCACGTGCCGGGCGCGCTCGCACGCCGCGGAGCACGTACAAAAGGCCCGATGGGGAGGATGGCGGGGGCGGGGACAGTGGCGCGAGCGAGCCCGAGGGAGGTGAAGGCAAGGGGAAAGGAGAAGGGCGGGGTTGGGGCGGCGCGGAAAACCGCGGTTAACTTACCCCGAGCGGGAAGTGGGCAGCAGCGGCTGCGAGGGGCGGGCTGGTGGAGGCCTGCTCTCGGTCACGTGGGCGCCGCGACGGGAAAAAGCCTGGGGAGGGGCTGCCCTCTGCGGCGTCCCTCCTGGCCTGGCTTTCCCTAGCCCCCGAAGTCTTCTGCGGGAACGTGCCCCTGTTCCCCAAGAGGAAGGCACAGGGAGAGCTCTGGGTGGCAGGGGGTAATGGCTGCATTTGCGGTTGGTCTGTACGCAGGCCAGAGGCAGAGGAAGAGGGAGGAGGTAAAACCCATCCATGGACCACAAGCGTGAGAGCCAAAGCTGCACTATGAACTGTCAAAATTGTCTCTGACTTCTCACCAGGCAGGGGAAGAGGAATCAAATGCGTGAGGTACCAGATCTATCCCGCTTGACTCTTCTCTTCTTCGGGCCCAAGAGCGCCTGTCCCCGGGAAACATTCTCTAGGGGGTGGAGGCAACAAAGGAAAATAACAATTGGGTCAGAGCAGAATCAGGTTCAATCATCTGTGTGGAGAACGGAGCGAATTCATGAGAAACATAGTTTAAAAGAAGTCAAACAGACTATGAACAGACCAGATGGTTTATAAACCACAGAAACATTTCTAGAATAAGTGATGTTTACTGTGATTTAGACTCTACTACACACTACAGGAATCAATCACCGGCACTGAAAACAGACTATGTATGAAAGCTCTTGAAAAGAAAGTAGGTCAAGAAAAAAAAAAAAAAAACAGCAATAAGGACTTCATTAAAAATCATAGCAGAGGAGAGGAAATTGAAGCTAAAATAAAACAAGGTTGTCACAAAATTATTATAAATATCAACTGCATTGTTTTTCGTGGTGTTACAAATAGAGATGGCACTCTGAACCACATTTTATTTATAAGCTAGAAGGTATGAATACTTGGCACTTGAACAAAAGAGTAGAAGAGGTACCACAAAAATCTAAGTGCTTAACCCTAAAGTTCTTAATAAAACTAACATTTTGTTACTGTTAGAGCATTAGAAAGGAAACTTCTCTCTCACAACTCAGTGAATGCTTAACAGAAATCCAGAAACAATGATATCGAGGAGGCACCCAGCCTTTTCATTTATTCTAAGTATATTTTTCTAGTGCAAGCATTTAAAATAAAAAGTTATCACTGTGTGCAGTGCCCCTTTTCAAGAGATTTCTAGTATTAATAGAAAGTGTTCTAAATAGTATACATTGTCAGAATGAATGTTATAATGTATCCGTGGTAGTGATGTTTTTAAAGTGGTATTATATAAGGTGACCAGACATAGCTAAACCCCTTATGAAAAACAGTATCAGTTAGTGTTACATATTAACAAGGCAGAATCTTCAAATGTTTACTCATGGAAAAGACTGGGGAGTACATTCAAAGGCTAGGGAGAAAGGATATAATAGTATCACCGAGAGCTGAAATAGCAACAATTAAGGCAGCTACTGATTTTTAATATTTGCAGCTCACTTTCCCAAGTGTTTTAGATCTCCGAACTGGGTTTCACCAATTTATGTTTTCTTAGGATTCCAGTGAAAAATATAAAAAGTCAGAAATATGAGATTAGCTAAATGTTACAGATATCCAAGGACAGATATTACACATTAGCAAAGCTCATTTTCACTTCCAGTATAATGGCTTACACCCCACCTAATCTATATGGACTGGAAGAAAGGAGGGGAGGGAAAGAGAACTATATCCAAAGAGAAATATATCTAAATATTAATTTTCAAAATTGCCTGAGAATGTAGGTCATTCCTACTTCTGTCACATGATAACCCTAAAACTAAAGAGACTTGATCATTAGCAAATTGATTTTGAGCACCATTACTGTCTGGTAAATGTCCATCAGCATGGGTAGCCAAGTCCTTCCCTTTTATTTGGTACCTATGAACCCTCTCTCTCCATTCCTTCCTCTTTGCATATACATAGACGTGTTGTCTATAGGAAATGTAAGGACTGGAGGTGAGTGGTGTAATTAATACTCATTATTGAGTATTTAATATTTTCAGGCACTTCTTGGTTTGTGAAAAATCAGAGGTGAATAAAAACTATCCCTGCCTTGAGGAAGCTTGCAGTTTTGTGGAAAAATGGCCTGCAATGACAATACATACAATATGACAAGTGTAATATTATGGAAATGCACATAGGTTCAATCCAGAGCATCAAAGTAGTCTAAGATGCTACCTAGAATGTCCAAAGAATCCCTACAGAAGTGAAGGTTTTTATTTTTTAATTAAATGAGAAGGTTTGATAATACTGTCCCTTGACAGGTCAACCTTGTCTTTGGGATCTCATAAATCTCAATCTTATCCATAGAAAAGGTATATATCAACAAATATGCATGACTTCTGCCTGAGTCCACTTGTTCTTTAAATACCAAACTGTCCGCTCATGGGAACCAACACACACAGACACACACACACACACACACACACACACACACACACACACACACCCTACTTACTGAGATGTTCCTGGGGGAATTCGGAGGCCTGTTCCATCAACAAAACAAGAATAAACCCCGGGCCCAAAAGACTCCGCGTCTCTGGGGAGATCAATATCTGCGCCGTGAGTACCCTTGCCCATTTGGAACACAGTGCGACCGCTATGGACGTGGTATAATCATACGAACCTTCCGCCCAAGAGACTCGATTTCTGAGTAAATCTAGGAGACAAGATTTAGACCCCCTAACCCACCCTCCACGTACAATAAAGCTGGGGAGACCCCTGGGGGAGGGGACAGATGTGCTTGCATCCGGGCCGTGCGTGCCTGCTTCACGAGTTCTCCAGGCTGCACTGGCCCACACACGCCGGTGCACTCCTTTTTCTGGAATTCTTGGAATAGCAGAGCCTGAGGAGAGGAGTGGAGGTGGGTTGTGTCGGCTACAAGCAGGCGGGCGCAGAGCCTGGGGGCCACTCCGGGGATTCAGGGAACGCGGCGATTACAGACATCGGATCGCCCTCGGGCTAGGGCGGAGCAGGTCCTTCCCACCCAAGGCCCAGAGAAACCCTGCAGCCGCGATCTCTCCCGAGCCCGCAGGGAGAAAGCCTGGGGCCAGGGAATGGCGGAAAGCGCGCGCCGGCGTCTGGGCGCTGTTTCTTCGTTCCCGGCTCTCGCCCTGGGCCCCGGGGACGAGAAGGTCCGCGGACCAGGCCCTGGGGCGGGCACCAGCTCGCTCCGTTCCGCTCTGCTAACCCTGTGTGCGCCTCCCCACTCGGCGGAAGCCAGGCTCCGAGCGCCCGGCGCATCGCGGGTGCTCGTGTCCTCCGCTGTCCTGGGGCCGCCGCCGCCCGCGAGCTGGCCAGGCCGGCCGCTGGGCGCCTGCAGCCCTGGCTTTTGCCGCCGAGGATTTTCCACCCAGCACTGAGGATCAAGCCGGCCTCAGCGAGGCTGTGACACCAGGCTCAGGAGCAGTGGCCGCCTGGGCCTCCAGGCCGAGAGATTTTGGAGCTTCTGCAGGGCGCAGCCGGGCGCGGGGCCTCCGGAAACCCACTGGAAGGGGATGCTCGAGTCTGTCCTGCAGAGGCCGTGGCCCGGACACTGCTGCCTGGTCTCGAGCAGGCTCAGCCTGCTGTCTTCCAAAGGGCTGGGCCGCCGGGTCTCCAGACAGGCAGCCTCTGGATCTCAGGCGTAAGGGACCGAGTCTATCCGAGTTTGGCCCAGTGGAAAAGCATCCCAGAGTCTGGGAGCCAGTGCTGTGTCCACGGACGCAGCAGAAGAGAGAGCATAGGTAAAAGCGCTATTGAGATTGGTTAAAAATACACCAC